CTCGTCTCCTCCGGCGGGGGCCCGGCTGAATGCGCAACACTCAGCCGAACTGCCACGGAGGGAGGGGAAGGGGGCGGGGTGGTGATGTACACAGCCGGGGGGCGGGGCTGTCTACGTCACCATCCCCCTTCCCCTCTTGCTGTGGCACTCAGCTGAGTGCTGTGCCCCTCAGCCGGGCCGCCGGGGGAGCCAGCAGCGCAAGGGGCCATTTGGGCTTCCTGTGGTGGGAGGGGAGGGGAGGGCGGTGACGTATGTCACTGTCCTGCCCCCCTCCCTCGCGGCAGCACTCAGCCAAGTGCCACGGCGGGAGGGAAGGGGCAGGGGGGCAGGGAGAGACGGAGTGGAGAGAGAGTCAGGAGGAGGAGGAGAAGAGAAAGGGAGAGTGAGAGGCAGGAGAGGGAGAAGAGAGAGAGGCAGGAGGGGGAGGAGAGCTGAGAGAGAGGGGGGTTAGGCAGTAGGAGGTGAGAGAGAGAGAGACACGGAGCAAGAGCGCTCAGGAGAGAAGACCTGAAAATCCCGTCTTATGACAGGCTAATTGGCTAGTTAATCTAAGAGTTCTATGAGTTCTGAGATTTCTTGTAAAAATCTAGAGACTGTGAACACAATTTTCAAAAGAGGAATCTTTAATGGGATGTCCAAATCCAACATTTGAATCCTCAGACTAATATTAAACTAAAATGGTTGTTTTGTTTACCATGCATAAGTGCCTTTGTATTTTTAATTTTGTGTTTTGCATCCAAATATGGAATTTGTATGTCATATTGAAGCAACCAGTTGAAAATTAGATTCCTCTGCTTGATTTGGGTCTGAAGATCCTAAATTATGTAACCACTATATAAAGATTCGATAGATAGTTATGCTTTGCATTATAGAAGAAAATTTTAAAATAATTTTTGTTGCACATTTTTTATATTTATGAAACATTTGGTATTTGAAATGTTGTTATAACTTACTGCTGCTTTAGTTTGTTTGATACATCATAGTTTTTCTTGTTAATTTCACTATTCTGTTCTTTTTCAGCTATTACCTTTACATGTGTGATAAAGTGGTTGCTCCAAATGTATCCCTTACATTGCAACATAAAGAAGCTACAAAAACGGCAGTTGGGATTTCAGAAGTAATTAAATCTTTGCCTGGACAGTCACAGAAACAACTCAACAGTGTTAAACACAAAAAAACTGCCTCCTATCCAGAGCTCTCTCTTGAAGAGCAGGAAAAAATTGACTTAAAAACTAGCACAGAACTGCGTAAAAGTGTGGGTGAGTAGATAATGAAATCTGAAACTTGCTTTTATGTTTTCAGTTTTTATACCCAATGATTTCTATTTTAGTAAAATCAAAGGCAAGCCAACTTTGTAACATTCACATATTACTCCATTCTTATGCATTTGACACAATCTTATAGGTTGCTTTGCATTTTTCCAGTCTGGAATTTCAACAGACAGATTTCCACAAGTGTTTTGCTTCATTTTTCTCTTCTAAAGATCCACCTGTGTTCACTAATTCTACAAGAAGAGGGAAATCTGAACATGCCACTTCCAAAGCCATTGCAGAATCTAACCAGGTTGAAGTAGGCAGTTGTGCACAAACCTCATCCCCAGCTTCTATCAAGGACATCAGTTGTGAAGATGACAAGGGAAGAATCATGGAGGAAGTAATGAGAACCTACATTAAACAGCAAGAAAAATTGAACTCTATTTTGCGAAAGAAGCAGCAACTTCAAATGGTAAGGTACCAACTTTTGATTTTATTATCAGAAAACTATTGTTCCTTAAGCTCATTGGTTTTAGAATAAATACTACTATTACAAATAAAGCACAGGAGATACTTCTGTTAGGAATGTGACATTCACTATATTGTCTTCCTAAATTCAGTTATGTTAATATTTCCAGTATCAACTATAAAACCATTTTTGTGGATTTTACTGAGTTTCAGATCTTGGTACATATGTACTGCCAAGATCATCACTGGGCGGGGAGGAAATGTGCTTCGTTTTCTAATGAATTTTTGGTCCTTCGTCATTTCTTTCAATGTACATTACATATCTTAATGTAGTTCTTTAAGTATAATTGTCAAAATTCACTTTTTAACGAAAATAATCCATCGGTCCTATATGATGTTGAATTTATAGGATTGGAGGGTAAATACTTAATCAGTAAACAACCTTGATAGTTAAAGTATAACAATAGTTGACTGCACCCAAACCCAGCATTTTTTCTATCAAATGCCAGATAGTGTAAGATCTTGCTGTGGTCTAAGCCATTACCGGAATAGAAACTTCCTTCCTTTGTCTAATATTGTTTCACTAGGAGTTGGCATAATTTACTCTACATTTAGCCATTTCAAGCTAGCTACTTGAACAAAAATTTGATTCCATTTTGAATAAAATTTAAGATCACCTCTCTGAGAGAATCAGATCACATCTTACACTTTTGACCTACAAAGTAAAATTAATAAAAGGGAAGAATAATTAATGAATAAAATTATATTTTGTGTTTATGTCTCTGGTAGAAACATGGAGAAGAAGGTTTGGTTAATAAAAAAATCTCTATTTTTAAAACATAGTTCAGGTGACACACTTAAATTTCTTTTCTTCACAGATGTCTCAGTTGTTAACTAGAATCAAGCAACATTGGCATTACAAAAATGGTTATCTAATATTCTTGCTAAAGTTGTATTCACACAGTTATTCTGCATATGCACTACATTCATATACCAAATTTTACTCTTGGCCTTATGTGCATGAAAATATAATTTAGTAGTAAATGAGGCTGAAATTCGGCCCACTGCAGAGGTTAAGGGCTTATATGGTGCCTAAGGCTTTGTGCAGGCCCTCTGCAGTGACATGAATTTCATGCTTATTTAATTTCTTACTATACTTTAAAAGGTTTTTCCTGTGGGACAACAGAATGACCTCATGTGTCACTCTGCATCCCTCTGCCCCTCCTTCAACCCTCAGCTGCACGGCCTCCCCCTTCCCCATGCTCTATGGGAGCTGAGAGCCATGCAGTCTCCCCCATGCTCCGACCTGCCTCAGCGAGGCCTGGGGTGGCGAGACCGGTGAGCTGCATGGCTCCCAGG